TCGCGACGTCGTCGAGGGTGCGTCAAACCACTATTGCGAAACACCGCATCGTTACCGAGGACGACGCGCGCCCTGTGCATCGATCGCCGTACAGAGTCTCCGTTAAAGAAAGGGAGGTGATCCAGGAGCAAGTGCAAGAGATGCTGAATGACGACATAATCCAACCCTCAAGCAGTCCGTGGGCCTCTCCAGTTGTACTGGTTAAGAAGAAGGACGGAACGCTTAGATTCTGCGTGGACTACCGGCAGCTGAACGCAGTGACGAAGAAAGACGTCTATCCACTCCCCCGCATCGACGACACGTTAGACCGGCTGCGCCACTCCCGATACTTTTCATCCATGGACCTGAAGAGCGGCTACTGGCAGATCGAAGTCGACGAACGGGACCGAGAGAAAACAGCTTTCGTCACGCCAGATGGGCTGTACGATTTCAAGGTGATGCCCTTCGGACTGTGCACGGCTCCAGCAACTTTCCAGCGTGTCATGGACACCGTACTGGCAGGACTGAAGTGGCAGAGCTGTCTCGTCTACCTCGACGACGTCGTAGTGTTTTCCAGCGACTTCGACGAGCACTTGCGACGACTCCGAGCAGTTCTCCAAGCCATACGGACCGCCGGACTCACCCTGAAGCCGTCAAAGTGTCGGTTCGCCTATGACGAACTGAAGTTCCTAGGTCACGTGGTTAGTAACAAAGGCGTTCGCCCCGACCCAGAGAAGACTCGCGCCGTCGCAGCATTTCCAGTACCGACAGACAAGAAGGCCGTGCGAAGGTTTCTTGGACTATGTGCCTACTATCGGCGCTTCATCCGGGATTTTTCAAGGATTTCCGCACCACTCACAAACCTCACAAAGGACGCCGAGAAGTTCGAATGGGCCGAGAAGCAGCAGCAGGCATTCGACGAGCTGAAGCGACGACTGCAGACTCCTCCTGTTCTAGGACATTTCGATCAAGATGCGGAAACCGAAATTCACACGGACGCAAGTAACGCTGGACTTGGCGCGGTACTGGTTCAAGTGCAAGACGGCACCGAGCGAGTTATCGCCTACGCAAGTCGGACATTGTCCAAGGCGGAGAAAAATTACTCCACGACTGAGAAAGAATGCCTTGCTGTCGTTTAGGCAATCACGAAGTTTCGTCCGTATTTGTACGGGAGCTCGTTCCGTATAGTCACGGACCACCACTCGCTCTGCTGGCTTGCGAACCTCAAGGACCCGTCAGGACGCCTCGCTCGATGGAGTCTACGACTACAAGAGTTCAACATGACTGTGGTCTACAAGTCAGGCCGCAAGCACAGCGACGCCGACTGCCTGTCCAGAGCCCCCACCGAAACACCTTCCGGCAGTAGCAACGACGAAGACGACGAGTGCTTCCTAGGTGCAGTGAACACCGACGACATGTCACGACGTCAAAGAGACGACCCTGAGTTGCGCGCACTAATCGAGCACCTCGAAGGACGAGGGGGTGCTGTCCCCCGTGTCTTCTCGAGAGCCCTGCCGACTTTCGTCCTCCGACAAGGTGTACTTTACAAGGAGAACTTCGGAGACAACAGCACACCATGGCTGCTGGTAATCCCCACCGACCTTAGAGCGGAGATCTTTCAAGCCTGTCACGACGACCCGACGTCCGGACACCTTGGTTACAGCCGTACGCTGGCCCGAATTCGTGAAAGGTATTACTGGCCCAAGCTGCCGAAGACCGTTCACTTCTACACACGGTCCTGCCACGAGTGCCAGCGACGCAAGAAACCACCGACGAAGCCGGCAGGTCTCCTGCATCCGATCGCTCCCCCGACCGTACCGTTCCAGCAGATCGGAATGGATCTACTTGGTCCTTTCCCACCGTCGACGCAAGGAAACAGATGGATTATTGTCGCCACAGATTATCTCACACGGTACGCCGAAACGAAAGCCCTTCCTGTAGGGACTGCTGTGGAAGTCGCCAAGTTCTTTATCGAATCCATCGTCCTCCGGCACGGCGCTCCCGAAGTTTTGATCTCAGACCGTGGATCATCGTTCATGGCCCAGCTGACGCAAGAAATCCTTCGTCTCAGCCACACCAGCCATCGGCGCACAACGGCGTACCACCCGCAGACCAACGGGCTGACGGAGAGACTCAACAAGACCATCGCCGACATGATCTCTATGTACGTCGACGTGGAGCACAAGACCTGGGACGAGGTGTTGCCATACGTCACATTTGCCTACAACACGGCCGTGCAAGAGACCACAGGGGTGACACCCTTCCAACTGGTTCATGGTCGTAAAGTAACGACAATGCTGGACGCGATGTTACCCCACGAACCGGCTGTCGACGGAAGCGACGACGCCCAGGTGGTTGCCCAACGGGCAGAAGAAGTCCGCCAGCTCGCCAGACACCGTATTCAAGCCCAACAACGTGTCGACACTGGCCGCTACAACCTTCGTCGTCGGGACGTCCACTTCCAGCCCGGAGACAGGGTGTGGGTGTGGACACCGATCCGCCGCCGTGGTCTCAGTGAGAAACTCCTGAAGCGCTACTTCGGACCCTACAAAGTACTTCGTCGACTCGGGGATCTGAACTACGAGGTGATGCCCGACGGAATACGGACTTCATCACGCCGCGCTCCACGACCGGAAGTCGTCCACGTCGTGCGCCTCAAGCCGTACTACGCGCGATAAGACTGCGAACTGTGATCTTGTGCACCGCTTGATACGATTGTGTTTCGCGAGCCTCCGTATGTTCCCTTTTTTTGTTTGTTTCGCTCTGTTTTGTTGCCTTTTACGTGGCATCGAGACGATGCCTTTTTAAAGGGGGGAGTAATGCCACGCTCGTCGGCGAGCGACCGCGCGCGTGGCCGAGTGGTTACCGTGCTTGACTGTCGCGCAGAAAGTCTGGGTTCGAATCCAGTTAGTGGAATACTCTTTTATTTGTTCTTTCATTGTGTTCTCGTGAGTTCGAGAACATTCTCGTCAGATCGAGTTCCGAATGTTCCAGTCGCCGAACAATCTAGGCCGATTGTTCCAGAACCCAACGCGCGTACATAAGGGACTCCGCGTGCTGATCTGCAGTCAGTTTTCGCCCAGCGTTCGACTCTGCTGCTACGCCGACTCCGACGCCCGCGACGCTCCGTTATTATCTTTTGTACCCTTTTATTTTTGGCACAAGTTCGCCACATTAAACGTTTATTTCTTTCTGTTTATTATTGTTTATTGGTCACTGCCCGTGACAATATTAATGCTGATGAAGCAAACCAAATGCCTCAGGCACACGGTATACGAGAAAGGTTTCGACTGGCAGAACGTTTACTGCCTATTACCAATAACTGTAGGTATGGACCCATGTTCTACACTATGGGGACCGCTCCCGTCGAACACCACTATATTGGAAGTACAACTGTCCAAACACCGGTATGCCAACTCTATTCGCAAAAAAAAAAAAAAAAAACTCACACCGCAGTTAGTCTTAACCGTTAAGCATTAGTGGAAGTCTACCTCACAAACTCAACGACGCTGATGGTCGGCACAAAAGGAGGAAAGGTAAATTAAGGATGAAGTATTCATTGGCGGTCGTACCTGACTCCGCGACTGCTAAGCGCGTGTTAATGGCCAACTTCCGTAGTTCTTTTGCAGATTATATCTCCCACCATCAAGACTGCTGGTCTTAGCAGCCTACGAATGTGAGCCCGTTCCGAGCATGCGCAGTGAACAGCGCACTCCACTGTGGCGTCCAGTGAAGACTTATGAGCTCATTCCTACATTTGTGTTTCAGTGTGCTAAACAGCTTGAAACTGAAGAACACCAAGTTGTTCTTGACACGTTTTATTTACATTTGAATGAGATAAGCCGCCGTCTCGCTTGACTGTACTCATCCGAGACGTAGCCGTGGGGAGAGGGAGACGGGACAAGAAGGGCAGAGAGAAGGAGAGGGACAGATAGTCGCGTGTGCAAGGATAGGCTCGCTGCCCGCAAGAAGGCAAGCTGCGAGTCGAACATATGTTTTCTGTGGTCGGTTGGCTGTATAGGGTGAGGGCTTGTCCAGTTTTCGTAGGCCAAGGAGGAAGTGCATTTATGTGTGCGGTCCTGTGTATCGATGTCTATAGCAGCGCCAGATGTTGTGAGGGCATACGTCGCCGGCACTCTTCACTGGGGGCAGAGCGGGCAGAAAACAAAAAGGGAACACATTTGCACAGCTGGCGCCATCTATGCGGTGGAAACTTTCGTTCTGCGTCTAGATTTTTATCATTTTTACGCATTCTTCTTTCACCGCGGGCTTGAAATAATTATGACGATGTTATAAGCGGCCATTTTTTTTATAGACACCATGTAGATTTGATCTTGCTAATTCTGCGAAAACCTTTAGTCTAGCTATACGGTGCAGTTCAAGGGCTAGCTGGAAGATGGCGCCAGCGTGCCAGCGTGTTTAAAATCCTTGTAAGTGCTTTTTCATGTCATAAGTGGTTGCGAAAGAAAACACCGCGCTCGAGCACACTCTAACGCAAATGAGTAAACACGCCTCATTATTTTGAAGTAAATTTTGCAGAGTTTCCTCCGAGCGCGAGGACGAGGGTGACAGGACTTGAGACCCGCTCCCACACTTGTAGTTGCTTAGGACCAAGATCTTGTGATCTCTTAGGACGAGTGAACGCACTGGCACGCTGGCGCCATCTATGACGTGGCCCTGGAACTGTACTTTACTAGAACGAAGGTTTCGCGGTATTTTCGAAATTAAATGTGTGCATATCACCTATCAAACTTTATCGATTAAAACATTGTAGAAATTTGTTTTGAGCCAAGAAAGAAAGGATGATGCGCGAAAATAATAGGAAATATATCGAAACTGCAAGTGTTTGAAAATAACTTTCCGTGTTTGAGTTGATTACTTGTGATTGCCGTCCAGAAGGGTGTGGGTGCATAGAAAAGGATAAACCTACAGTCTATCAATATAGTCTAGACATGTAAAGGCATTTCAAGAGAGCTACTCGTACAACCCTTTTTTGTTTTCTACAATGCTTCCTTTTATAGGTTCTTCGGCCACTACACACTGGACGTCATCGCCAGGTGCGCGTTTGGAACAAAACTTGACTCGCACACCAATCAGACCGATGAATTCGTAACGAAAGCAAGAAAGGCGTTCGCGACCAAAATTAATGCATACGTAGTGTTTCTATGTAAGTATACGCCTATATAAGAAATTCGTCAAACACGAAGTTGGAGCCTAAAGTTTGCGGGGCGCGCCGTTTGGACTTGTGCGGCAAAAGCGCGGCGTCCTTTTCACACGAGTCCCATCTGCACGCTCCCTAAACTTGGACCCCAAATTTGTGTTTGACGGGTCCAGCGCCTCAGGTGAATTTCAAGGTTATTTTGTGAACTTTCCGTTTACGTTTCAGTTTTCCTTATGAGCCTGTTTCCACGGCTATTCAAAGTATTCGGCACAAAAGTTTTCCCGGGAGAGATATTTCATTATTTCAAGAATACCTGCGCAAGCATTATCAAAAAGCGCAAAGAAGCTAATATCGTAAGTACATCTTTACGTATCATATAATACCACGGTCGATATCTGTCTGGTGCTGGTATCATAGCATATCCTTAACCTAAAAAAAAAAAAAAAAAAAAAAGCATTTCGAAGACTGTTTTAATATATGTCTGATACTTGACGATTCAGATTACCACGCTATTGTTTCGTGAACATTTCAGAGGCATCAGGACTTTCTCCAGCTCATGGTAGATGCCCAAGAGTCGGGTATCGCGGAAGTCAGCAGCGACGGTGGCCAAGACATGGAGAACAGTCTCTACAACCTTGGGAGCGAGCAGAAGTCGGAGACCTCGTTCGTCACAAAATGTTCGTTCACATTTTATATGGCTACATGCCAACAAGCTGCTTTATAAACAAGGCCGCGTTTGCCCATATAAGCTACTGCGCATGCGTAGTGCTGACAGCAGCGCCACCGCAGCCGTGGTACGTCAGAGACGCGAGTCGGTCTATGGTCAAAGACAGCTTCAAAGACGCAAAGGCCTGCAGCGAGTCCCGGGAGGAATTTTATTCTTCTTCCACAGTCGATCTCATTGCAACATCAGCTACTGGGAACGCCGAGAACCCACTCACGAAGCGAGAATGATCATAAAAGTCCACGCCCCAAGTGTCATACTGTGCTTTGAGTCATTGAGTAACTTTGGCTCACATTGTTTGTTATAAAACGTACATACGGCGTAGTCGCGGTAGATTATAGTCGCGACAGCTTAAGAGACGCGGGAAGCCTTCTATGATGTTCAGATGTTTGGCTTCGTAATTCGTTATTCGGCGTTCTTATTTGCCACTTTGGCTAGGGAGCGACAAGATACTCGGGATCGACGTGCCACGTCCTGTGTGTCCTAATTGTGATTATGTCGTGAACAAGTCGTACGGGTTATCAAAAATTGAGGCAGCTTTGTTCATTCGACCAAACGCGATAAAATGCGATAGCTCTATAGAAACATTCTAATGTCACATTCGTTTGGGGCGCACCGCACCGCACCGCGCTGCACCGACGGACGCGTCACGTTCACCTGGTCGTGTCGGTGCGGCTGCACTACGTTCGCCTGGGACTTCATGCGGCGCGCGGCACCGGTGCGTTGCTGCACCAGCTGCACCGTCGGAAGGAGACCAAGCAGGTCCTGGCACTGCGACCTTGAGTTAACGCTCTCCGCTTCCTTCGGCATATCCTCTCTCTCTCTCGCCTCGTCGGTGGTCTTCCCTCCTCGTCTCGCGAAACATGGCGGCCCGCAGCTCGAGAGAACGTGATGTCGGTGCTGCTATCTTTCCCTCAAGCCCTCTGCTCTGGCTACGATTCCAGCATTGACTACGGGCGTCGGTTTTTCCCTTTTCGGGAAGTGCGTGTGTGCGGTGCTGCGTTGCATCGGCCGCCGAGCAACCAGTCCACCACGCCGGGCACGTGAAGCTTTCGTCGTTCGTCGGATTCAAGACGTCGGTGAGTCTTCGGACTTCGTTGGAACTTTTCCCTGGACTTTGAGTCCCGCAGAGGGGACTTTCCTTTTTCGGAACTTTCGTGTTCTTTGCACCGGCGAACTTGTTTCCCGGCTACAGTTTGTGTCGCGAGCGGCGAGTTGTTTCGCGTTGTGTCGGGAATGGAGTGCTGTCTTGTTTTTTTCGCGGCCCCGCTGCCCGAAGGTTCGTGAGTGTTGTTGGAGTAACGCGTGTTCGCATTTCGTTCTGATGGTTTTGTCGTGTTGTCGCCGTGCGCGGCTTTTTATCGCCTAATTAAATTTCTTGTTTTTCGTTTAACCCCTGCGTGCCCTCACACCTGTTGATTTTCACACCGGACCTGTCTGTACCCATCGTTTGTCACCAGTCCGTCAATAAAATCGCATATGTGTAAACGCTCTCTTTCATAGTCCATGTGTTTTTGTTTTTACGTTGGCGGGCGAATTTTCGGTGTAACAAGTACATACTTGAACCATCCACTTAAAAGACAATTTGTTACTTTCATTCCTCGCTAGATGGCGCGAGCCGCCGCCCCACTCTTGTGGACATTTTTTACCGTCCAGCCGTTCATGTTTTGCCCTTGCAGTGACCGGACCGAGCGCGTCGCACGGCGGGATGCTTCGCGTTCGCCTGGTAGTGCGTCATGTGGTGCACCTACACAGTGGCGTGGCCTTGGGGGCGACATTTTCTCGGTGCCGTGCGCGCCCCAGACGAATGTGACATTAGTGAAGTAAATAATTGGGAAAGGAAATGTTACGGTGATGAAATGGTTGTAATATGTCGCACACACATCGAGGACAACGTCAAGGAAGACGTTAGGTCACGTCAGCTTCAGCTACCGGCGCTTACGAGCTTGCTTCACTACAGGCACGGGCTCTGCGCGACCTCGATAACACGAGCGACACGAGCGTGGTTGGGTTCTCTCTCTATCTGTCGTTCTCACTACCTCTAGTGCGCGCGAACAGAGCTTACGCAACCGCCGCTTACGAGCTTACGCGACCGGAACTTACGCTTATGCACCACCACTTCACCAACAGGTGTTACATGACCTTGAGGACAGGACCTTGAGCGTGGTAGGGCCTACAAAGCTACCGCTTTAAAATTAGTTTAAAAACATGCTTGGGAGACCGACAGTTAGAAGGACCTTTAATTGGTCAAACGGAGTTACTAACAACAATCCGCAGGGCCACCTCTGAATACCGGTCAAGAAATACTCCCTCCTACAAAGATCAGAAACCTCATTCGTGATTTTAGTTGTAGTCGAAACTCTAGAGCCAAGAATTTTTATTCTTCATTGCGAATTAAGCCCCTTACAAATGCCAACTAAATTCTGACACTTCGTTAAATATACTTTACTTTTCTACATAGCGACGAAATTTGCATTCTTTCTGTAGATACCTCATTGTTTCCGACTTCCATTTGTGAAACGTTACTGTCAGGAAAGTTCTAAATTATTTTGTGTCCGTATTTTTAAAGTTTTTTTTGTATTCCCACACTCTACGGTACTCGTGGTCCCTCTAGGAGTTATATTTAAATACAGGGTTTGTAAATGTACATAACGGGGTATCATGAGTACAAAACCAACATAAGCATTATCATTTCGTTTTTTTACGTTTTACACATACAGGATGCTTCCAACCACATACCTTTACCGCTTAGGTCTCATATGAATCATTGGCTGACGAACGATAATAGGATGTTTGACACTAACCACGCCCTCCACTTAAGCAAGTCGAGGTCACACTGCTCCAGTGTTGGACAAAATACTCGATAAAAGTATTAAAATTAATAAATTCCTGCTTTATAAAGTATTTAAAATACTACTCAAGTTACTGTCACAGTAAGGTGTCTTGAGTAGAGTAAAAATACTTAGATATGTAATTCAATTACTTTTGAAGATACTTCCGCATTGCGTAATTTGTATCGACGTCGGTGACAAGGACAATTATACAGCTCCATAAATTGGGGTTACCAGACTGGTTTATTAGCACGAAACAACACAAAATGGAAAAAGAAAAAAAAAAGTATCGTAGGGCTTTTTTATGCAGTCCAACTATAAGGAGCAGGATATTGTCACGAATGACAAATGATGAGGCGGCGAATAACTGAAGAAGCTAAACGTTTAATGAGGCGAACTTGTGCCCAAAACAAACTATAGAAAGGCTATCATCGCAGGCGTCGATGTCGGCGAAAGAGCAGGATCGAGCGCTGGTGCGAGACTGACACCGGACCGCCACTCGGAGCACCTTTTGCACCCGCGTGGGTTTCTGGAACATTCGGCATAGAAAGTTCGGCGCATAGAACATTCGTAACTCCATCAGACGACAAGGTTCTCGAACTTACGAAAATGTCAAGTTGAAAGAATAAATAGAAGAGTCTGCTCTTTGGTGTCGAACCCGGAGCCTCCGCGCGAGAGTCTAACGCGGTAACCATTCGGCCACGCGCTCGCCCGGCAACACGCGTGGCAGGATCACTGATAGATGTTACAAAACATTTCTGGGACAACAAGGAAGAGGCCGCTTTAGCTATTGGGAAGGAAATCAGACCGTGGCGTCCCAAGCAGTTAACTTTAGAACTACATGGATGGGGACAACAAATACAATGACTCAGCGCTCGGCTGACTTAACCGAACGCGGCGTCAGCGTTCGGGTGGAGTTCGTGTTCTCCGGTGAAAGGGAGGAGGCGCTCTTTTGTTACCACTACGGCTTACCTAAACAATGCAGCATGCATCGTGCCCAGCTCAGCACAAAAGCCGTATTGGGTCAAGCTCGCATCCTCTGACGACTGCTTTCGAGAGAGATCCGGCACTTAACGTCACTTCACTAATTGTTGGTATTTTTTCATTACACTGTGCCCCGCGCTCTATTAAAAAATACGACATGAACATGCCCACAAGGCCTGTGGGCAATGGGCATGTGCACAAGCCTTGTGTTGGCTAAACACCGAGGTGTGGGGTGACAAACGGCTCAAAGCACCTAGCCAATAATGACATCGCTGAATATCACGTCCTGTGGCGCACCTTAGACACATCGCTTAACTACAATCCATATTTCCTATATGGGGAGTTCACTATAACGAACTTGGGATACGAATATGAGTGAATGGATAACAAAGAGAACCCAGATAATAGCCACGGCAGTGGTCGCACCTTCTTCAGTAGGTGACGTTCAGAAAGGCACTCAACGTTGGGGGACACTTTGTTGGCATTTTGAAAGGTTATCCAGCTCGTAGTTCGTTTCCTGCACTGTTCTCTGCTTACCGATGTTGGCTTACAGACAGTGTTCGCGAGAGAAATAGGTGATGGACTGACGACAAAAATAAAAGAAACAAAAGAAAACCTCGACATATTGCCCTAGCGGGGTCAAGTATACAAAAAGCAATACTAAAATGTCGTGTTTTTTTTTTTTTTTTTTTGCGTGTGTCCACTTCCCATTTTCTTCTATTTGTGATTTGCTTGCCACTCAAGTCTGCATTGTTGTCGTAGGTCGTTTCCCTGTATGCGTTGCGCTCAGAGTGGCATCTTTACTTCCGTAAAACCGCTCCTTTTGTGTGAGGATTTTTTTGGGGGAAACTCTATGGAAACAAAAGGCGCCTTTGGGAAGGCGAGGGGAGAACCTTCATTGTACGAACTTTGGGGTGAAATATGAGTCACAATCGGAAAAAAGCGATGTTTCCACGAGCTCAATCAAAGTCACCGTAGCTAATCGGAGCTAGCAACAGGATTTGGTTGCTCAAAAGAATGTTCACATTTGCCCGTGCCACGCCCACGCCACTTCATACCGAAAAACTCGGAAAATGGCGGAATGTCAAAAATGTATTGCAGGTAATGAGTACAAAATATTCGGAATTGTAATTAAAATAGAGTATCAAATACTCTCGATAAAAAGTGTTTGCGAGATACCAAGATACTTCAAAAAGTATTTAAAATACAATATCTTGAGTAGGGTATTTGAGATAGGCACACGTGTGCACTGCTTATACACCATAAAAAAGACAGCCTGCAGACTATGTTTGACATGTGTTTCTGCTTTGCATGACGGTCCTGTATCATTGGTCATACAGAAACGGTCTGCGGACATGTTTAAAGCCTACAGGTGCACAAAAGAAAATTTGCTTCAAACATCTGTGAAGCGTGCCTTCCGATAATTATGTCATCATGTTTGCCATCATGTTGTTTTTTGTTCAATTTACGAGCAGGGTGAAGTTGAGCTGCCAGTGAATAGGAAAAGCGCAAATTCGTCTGCTTTTTGCATAGGGGTTCCGATGACGTCAGAAGGCCGAACTCTTATTGACTGATGGAAACAATATAGTGGGTAGACCTCAAGGCATCTAGCATTGAGATCTACCCACTATCCTTTCGATCAAAGCCAATCAGAACTCGGCCTGAGTCTGACGTCACAGCAATTCATGCGCAAAAAGCAGACGACTTGCACTCCGCATATGATAGTTGTTGTCGCAACCTTCAATCTGGGATCGAGAAACAATAAAAAAAATCGGCCGATGGCCCGCTCGAGCTAACCGCGTGCCGCGATCGGTAACTTTCAGCCCTGACAGAAGACGAAGCCTTGGCGCAGTGTGTGTTGTTCTTCACGGCTGGTCTGGAAACAACGTCGACCACGATCGCCTTCGCCGTGTATCAGCTGGCCGTGTGTCCCGACATTCAAGACAGGCTGAGACAGGAGGTCGACGACTGTTTCGCCAAACATGTGAGTTCACATGCAACATTTCCTAAAAGACAAGGCCGTCGTGATGACGTGTTAAGTCATCGCCAGTGAGTTCCCGATCCTTCCCAAGAGGCATACACGTTTTTTTTTTTTTTACGAGAGAATACACGGCAAAGCGGCAGATGCGTGCTTCTTTGCGTCGGCTCGTTTTAGCGCCATGGCAACTAAAAAGGCAAGGCCTGCGCATGACGTGATTTCGGGCAAGCGCATTCCAGCTCGGAGCACGTGGAGCGAAAGCTCGCGCTGCAGAACCCAGGATCCTGGCTTCGAGCCCCACCCCTGCCCGTTTCGATCCGGATGAGCATCGTACCGGCGTGCGGTCGAGTATCACTACTGCGTGGTGCACGTTAAAGACCCCAGGCTAGCGGTTGTACTGCACTGGCTTAATTACCCATCTACAGCTGAGAGACAAGTCGCTCGTTCAGGCTAACTTCCGGCTGTGTAAGCATACACACAACATTATTGTTATACCGCCTCATCTCAAAGGCAGACCGACCTTGGCTGTATAAACACGAACGTAAAACTAAAATGGTTGGTTCTTTTTTTTTTTTTTTTTTTTTTGTCTGTAGCAAAAATTTTTAAAATCCTGATACCTCGGCAGTTTTTTAAGACTTATGTCGTCAGGTAAATTATTTTGCCGAAAAATAAATCAGTAATCGTACGTTCACTGAAACAAGAGCTGGCGAGCTAACGCAATTTTAGGTTTCTTTTCACTAATAATCTCTTCATGACTATGATACTTGCTTTAAGCATGCCTACAGGCTTTATTCTAATCCCAGTGAACACGTAACGCTTAAACAGCACATAAGACATTTAAACCAAAATGCAGGGATATGTTTTTTTTTTTTTTTTTAAATCACTTGTATTTAAGCTTTATAATGTAATTCATTCAATTTCCTTGTACAGGGTCCAGAACCAAGCCTCGACGCGGTGTCCAAGCTCAAATACTTGCACTGCGTCGTTTCAGAAACACTGCGCATGTATCCCCCAGCATTAAGGTACGTTATTATTTCTGTGTGTGTGTGTGTGAAAGCTTTAATTCTGTTCCAACGCCGAACATATCGCATCATTTTTTCGAAGACAAAGTAAGCAAGTAGGTGAGCTCGTTTAAGTCGCACATATTAAAAACCGTATTTGAGGCGCATTGTATATATATATGACCCCTTGTTATATATACCCTTGTTACACGGGCACACTTAACTGCAGTTACGCTAAGCGACAGTTAGCGCACAATATGTATTTGCCGACAACACTCTGCGGCTATGCAGTCAAAGCCATGGGCGAACGTGCGCTTGAGCATCTTGATCATCCCTTCTTATGGAGTAGCTGTCCGAGAGTATAGTGCGGTATCTGTGGTGCCGCGTAACAGCAGTTAAGCTGAGTTAACCGCGGTTAAGTGTGCCCGTGTAACAGGGGTATTACACGGGCACGCTTAACTGCACTTACACTAAGCCACAGTTAGCGCACAGCAGTTTCAGACAAGATTCTGCGGCTATGCAGTCAAATGGGCGGCCGTGCGCTGGAACATCGTGAGCACCCATCGAAGCAGTGCAGGCGCGCTCTTCACTTCTTCTGAAATAGCTGTCCATGAGTATAGTGCGGTGACTGTAGTGCCGCGTAACAGCAGTTAAAGCTGAGTTAAACCGTGTAACAGGGGTATATGTTGTCCTCTTTCTCTCACCCCTCGTCTCCAGTTTCAATAGTGTGTGTTACCAGTCTTGTTCTTCTCTCTTGTTTTCTCTGAAATCCGACCTGCACAATTTAATCTCATCCTAACGCCTTTTTTTCATTTTTTTTTTTTATTGCTGTTACGCGGCAGTAAGACGTGTTTTCAGGACGCCATAAAATAACATAACGGAACGGAGAAGGTGAAAGAGTTCCACCCCAGTGGCGTAGCCAGGATTTTGTTTCGAAAGGTCCAAAAGCATAAATCCCCCACCCCCCCCCCCCCCCCCCCCCCCCCAAATGGCGGAGCAGGAGGAGCTCGGCGGTACGGACCCTCACGCAAAGATTAGCGAGGCGCAGTGAAGATAAAACGGGTAAAGCTGCATTGTCATTTTTTCAAAACGGAGCAGGCTTCATGTGCAGGGACACGGGCGTGGTGGCTCACTGGTCTACTGTCGTCGTAGTTGCGGCCCACCAGCTTTAAAGGCTTCCTCACAGCACACAACTTCCCCCACTTTTAAAGGTAGCACTGCATTACCAACGCGTGAAGGCCACACAGCTAACACCAGTGTCCTGCTCTGTTCCATGGGCGCCACCATGTTTGTTTATCCGGACGCAATGGGGCACGTTAAAAGGGGGGGGGGGGGGGGGGGGGGGGGGGGGGGGTGGGGGTGACTGTGCTTTTTGCGAGATTCCGTTGAAATCCGACCTGCACAACTTAATCTTATCAACGTCTTTCTTTTTTTCTTTTTTTTTTTTTTTTTACAAGCATTTACGAAATTTTGTATGTTGGTCTTCCGGAATGCGGATTTGGTGAATTTTTTGAAACCCTCCAACGACAAAACCCGGATTTTTTCCCTCTCCCCGTTCATAAGACACTGATAAATAATTTTACAATTTTTCAGTCCTTCGAGAAAATGTATTACACGTTGGTGTTTCTGATCCTGGCCACATAAAAATGTCAGCCTGAAACTCAACCGAACAATAAACCAAAATAACAAAAGGTGTGACTGTCAGCATTTTAGAAGCAAAGCGTAATCTCAACCTAATGAAATCGCCCCCCCCCCCCCTTTCCCCCTCCTCTTTTTCATGACAAAGGTATACACAAAGTGTGATGCAGCGTCGCGGCAACCTCCGGCACCATGAACAAGACAGCGCCTGGAACGCGTCTCCCATCGGTGTCTCTAGCGTCCTATTCCGCCCATGCATCGAAAATGGTCCCAAAGTGGCGACAAATGACGTCCCAAAAGGCGGAGTGTCATGCTGTCGGATGTCGCGATCCTGGCGGTTTGGACGTAGAAGTGCTGGGGAAAAGCAGGAACAATAGGCATCCCAGCTTCTGACTGCCGAAGCTTCCGCATGGACCGTCACACTGGTGAACGACCTGCAGAAGAACAGGCGTCTGCCACCACCGCTGAGACACCGCCAGGATCGCGGCCGGCGACAGAGTGACACTTCTATGACGTCATCAAGCGGAAATCGAGGGACCACTTTTGTCTTTTGTGTGAACACGGTAAACACGCCAGTCGGAGACGCGTTTCAGGTGCCATAACATAACGAAACGGAGAAAGTGAAAGAGCTCCACCCAGTGGCGTAGCCAGGATTTTATTTCGGGAGGTCCAAAGGCATGAATTGCGTATGCCTGGGAGTGGCAGCTGCATTGTTCAAACGTGAGCTTTTATTCTGGTGCGCGCCGCTATAACCTAGTGTCTGAAGCAAGAAATACTGGGTAGGCCAGGAAGCCGTCAATCGCATAACATGCAAGTACGGCGGAAGCTGCGGCCTGGCGAGCCAATCGGAACGTGACCTACGTATCACCGAAGTGCACTTTTACTGTGAAGAAGTATCAAGCTTTTCGCTGCGTCATGCTCCAATATGCGTGAGTCCGCGCTCGTATACGGATATCGAAGCCGCCGGCACGCAATGGGGGCTTTAGCGTTCACTTTTTGCCCAAATTACACCGAGGCAGGGTATAACCCTTGAGCTCTCACTCTACTGACGCCACCTGGTTGTTACCGGGCAGGCTATACTGTCACAAGAAATTAAGCAGCAAACAAAATCTCGATTTTGAAAAATTAGAGCAACCGCCCTCGCACAAACACTAGGGGCCCATATATAGGGCGAGGGTAATTCTGAACAATAACGAAACCAAAACCTATTATCCATTAAAGGTTTAACAAATGCGTGCTACAGAACAAGATGCCGTAGGAAAGAAAGTCTTATTTTTGCTAGGCTGCTTTATCTTGCAGTGTGGTCGAAAGGCAGCAGCGGCATATCCTTGGGGCGGTGAGAAGTCGTCAGTCCCGAACTCGTCGTTCCGACACTCGGAAAAATGACATCACACACCAACCATAACACACGGAAACTACACGCCGAACGTGGAAACGAACTTGAATATCATTGCACTGCGTAGTAAAATTATACAAAGGATCTTCGGAGTTTCTGGCGTTCCGTGCAATGAAAATATTAACCTAATAACGAATTGCATCGGATGTCACCTAGACATGCAAAGCAGAGAGCAAGACGGACTTCATCGCATCCATGAGCGACCATGAAAACTTCACCGAAAATTGGGAAATTTTAGGCGTCCAATGAAAGAGTGAGAAACATGAAACACCCGTCACGTCTGCGCTACAGGCGGTCGCCCTCTGTCCGCAGGCCTTGTTCCCAAACGTCTATCGTCTCCTCAAAATCCTAGCGACTCTGCGCGTAACAACGGCGGAAACTGAGCTCTCGTTCTCCACTACGACGGTTGAAAACACACCTGAGAGCGTCCACTTCAAATGAGCGACTGCTTGGTCTAGGGCTTTTGCGACATTGAAGTTCAAGCGGAGGACATCCTGGATATTCTTTGCCGTGAACGCAGGCGGCTGCATCTTAATATGTAGGCGCTTAGTATAGATGAAATGGTCAAGAGAGACTGTAAATTGCTTCTGAAATACCTAGTCACAGTTACTTCTTTATTCGCAGGTAATGTATAGTCCAAAGTACGTATTTCTGATCAGTATAAAAGGTCTGCCTGAGCGCAGCGGCACGTGTTGCTTAGAGTGGAATTGTTTTTACAATTAATTTAATATTCCTTACATTACTGACATTGTTTTATATTATCACCATGTGTGCGTTCTATAATGTCCACTTTAGCTTGATTTTAACTATGTATTTCAATGAGGATAGTTCGTTATACTTTGCCTTGAAAGTGCCATCTTTCACCACACAAATGTTTCGAAATATGCGTTCTCTATATATACGAGATCAAGTTCCACATCTCCTCAAATAAGCATGAATGAAGAAATATCTATTTTATTTATTTAAGCATTGTCTACCCCAGAAACATTCCTCCCGAAAGCATAAGTTGGAGATAGTCCGCGCTCTCCCTTTGCTCCGTGCCCCCTGCAAGACTGACTGCGTGAGCAGGGTAGCGAGCGGGACCAATGGGCACCGGGGGGAGGGGTTCGACTTTTCAACTCCCCCCCCCCCCCCCCCCCCCCCTTGTCTACGCCACTGGTTCCACCGCTCTGCGGCTTTCTCGTGAACTAAACATATTCAGGAAACGCACCAAAATGTGTGTGTGTGTGTATGTGTGTGTGTTTGTGCGTGCGCGCGTGCGTGTGTGAGGGGGGGAGCGCGCGCGCTCGGCAAACTTCTGCTCGCTCGTTTAAAGCGCGTCGCTGGCGTCGCTCTATGTTCGATCCCATGACGTGACCCGCGGGAGTAACTCGGATCTACTCGAGTAAGACGTCCGGCTGGCACTCCTGGTAAAAACCAGCGATGAGTCGAGCCTTGCGTCAGCGCTCGGCTGGCACTCGGGGTTCAACCAGCGATAAGACAAGCGTCGCGTGAGCGTTCGAATGGTATTCGCGTTTTCTCATTTGATCAAGTATACGGTTCACTCACGCGCATATTTTCAATTGTAACCAGTTTAGTATACCGACTGAGACTTTAGCGTCACTAAACAAAATTTTAAGTAGATTGACTAATAATTAACGCTGGAATGTATCTCCGTAGAAGCACCCAGAAAATATAGATTAAATTCAGACCTTCATATCTTTATTTATGACTGCAGTAAAATAGGTTCGCCTTCTCACTAGTGCTACTCCTTGCACTTATTAGAGTCACCGATAGCTTAATTAGCAAAACCGTGCCGCGAGTCTTGATCAGCTTATTATTGCAGCCAATGAGACTGCTGCATCAGCCGATAAGATTGCCGAAGAACCAATTGCAGACCAGAGCATGTAAGCATAATAGACAATAAAAATGAGTCGCTTCAGACTTTCTTATTCAAACCACGTAAACAAAAAACATACATCTGTTGTTGTTATTGTTTTTATATTTG